CTCTGGGAAGCTTTGATTGCCCTCTAAATACTGTAAACTACTTCTGGGTCTGAAATGAACATCTGTGCATAGCAACACTAAAATATCAAAAATAGGCATGTCGACATGACAGTTTGCAACAAATATCTGTATTTACGCCCTGAGCAGCAACACCTGCATTATTGTGTGTGAGTGGTAGTGGGAGAGATATGAGATCACAGTGTCAATTTGAAAAGGAGCATAGCTATTTTGAAGACAGTTAGGAAAAACTGCCGGAAGAAACCTCCCGAGGAGCTCTACTTTCAGTTTTGTTTCTTGTCTTTCAGATTCCTGTTTAGCATTTCCCACTCTTATAATACTTTGATTCCAGCCCATAAAGTGTTTTGATGTGTGTGCCAGGCTTTGTAGAAGAAGGCTCCTCGCTGCAGGAGCCAAACAGAAATGGGGGCACTGCCTCGATCTCAGACTTGTTCTACCTAGGAGAAGCTCCTCCGGGGGCTTATTTCATTTGCAAACAATTTGGAAACCAAAGGAGAGGTATTTCAGAGCCCTGTGGTGCCGCTTAGCAGCTAAGTGGTATATCCTCATCGCGCTCTCTGCTGCCCCCTGAGAGCAGTTTCATTTATAAAGAAAAAGAAGTATTCATATTATTATTTATGATACCGTATATTTACTGTGACCATGGCAGTTACGAGGCTCTACTTACCAGAAATCTTTTTTTTCTGTTTTAGAATAACTTTATTAAGAAAATGCAGACGATAAAACACATCACATTTTTTTTTTTGATATACTGTAAGCGACTCTCTCTGTGATTGTTAAAGACAAAACTGCACTTATGAAACTTACAAATCTCTCAGATGAGTGCCATTACTTTCAGAGCACTTTCTTAATTGAAAAGGGTTTTTTTCAATCGTAAAAAAGCTTAACCTCTGTTTAATTAAATGTCCCGACAAGTATTAGATCTGCCATGTGATTAGGCACACATGTCCATGGTTCCCAGAGGATGACTCTGTCTGTAGAGCCACCGGCAGGTCGGAGTTTTCCCTTATCCTTTGAAATGTCTCAACATCTTCCGGACGGATCGGCACAAAATCTTGTACAGACATCCGTGGCTCGGAGAGGATGAATCCGAATGAATTCATTCCCTGACTTTTCCCAACTGCAACCATGAGGTTGACATTTGTGTTTGTGAGTGAATTGTCTCAACAACTATTTGATGAAATGACATGGCATTTGGTTCAGACATTCACGTAATATTTTGGTTATCCCTTGACTTTTTTTCCATTATCATTATCGGAGTGGCAGGTTTGTGGGTGTACTGTGTGGCCTAAAATAAATGAGGTATTGTGATGTTTTCTGTGGAGCGCAGGAGACCTAGCTCGTCAAAGATAATGGCCCTCCTGATAATGAACAAATAGCTTCCTCTCATGTTCGGCTTTTTCTCACTACTGTAACAGAGTTAGTATCAATCAGCGTCATACACCGTTACATTATTTTACCCCTGCTGTGCTCTAAAATGGCACTCTTCTAATTCAATTTGTTCAAGACTGGAAAGCACAAATATGTTCCCCTCTTCATTTCACTTCATAAACTTCTTCATACAAACTCACCATTTCATTCTTGTTGAATAGTAGACATGTGTGTTTCTGATGGATGTGTGGAGCTCCTTTCAGTAGCTACTACCAGGTGGCCTGTGGTCAAAAGCACAAAGTGATACTTTCTGTGTGTAGCAGGGACCGCCACACACAGAGCAGTGACTGTGTGGATCTTAAAGAAGCTGCTGCTGCTCTACATGACGCCACAGTGTATAGACACTTTGGAGCTGCCTCATACCACTTCTTAAAATACAGCATATCACTGGCCTCTCACAACCTTACATCATCTGTTAGGCTTTATGGTGGATTTACGCTCTTCATGTCACTTCACAGATAACACATTATACTCCTCCACTTAAGATGATCAAACGCTCAAGCAATAAGAAATGAATTTAGAGACGCATGAGTGAAAGAAATCACAAGTAAAGCAGGGCACTATAACTTGTGTACCTTTAGCTAGACAGCTGCATTAGAAGCAGGTTATAATTCCTGATTTTAGGGGTTTTTGAGGTATTCTTATCCATCACTCTTAATGTGAATAAAGAACAAAATCTGCTCAAAAATATAAAAGAAAGTCAAGAATCCCTGTGATGCATTGCCTCACTTTCTAATGGGATCTGGCTGATGTGTGGCTCATTGTCATGCAACCCATGGTGCGATCTGCCTGTGGTCCGCATGCAGTGCTCACTGATGTGAGCTAGCCTCTACTGGGGGAGAGGATCAAAATGAAAAAACACTGTTGGTAATATTTCAACAGAACAAAAATATGTGCTATCCAAGAAATATGTGCTATCCAAGTTATCCCAGTTATGGATGAAACCATAGAGATGAAATGTTTATGAAAATGTATCAGCAGTAATGTTGTGGAGAAGTCATAAAAAAGGGAATAGACGTCCAGCGTCCATCATAATTCACCTTTATTTCAGCTTTAATAAGAATTGTTGATGTAAATGTGTGATACTGATGACAAAGCTTTTAGTTAGCAGTGTCTGCTCTTTTCATGTTTCTAAGATGACTGATGTACTTTGAGGAACTGCAGAGACAAACATTTGCATGTGAATATTTGCATTCAATCTGAAACAATATTTATTTGTCAAGCAACGAATCGTGTGGAAATACTGCAGTCGTATGCTACACATGAGAGTGCAGCTTGATGCTGATGTTTTTATTCATTCATAATTTAGCAACCATCATATCAAGACACTGATATTTCAGATACTTGTGTTTACTTTGCATTGCTATACTGTTAGTGGATGAATTGAGCTATCATTAGGCCATGACATTATTTCATTATAATCTGCTGATTGCGTCTGACATCAAAGCCATACATGTTTAATGTAGCATCTCAAACTACGTCAGGCAAAAATGTCTGTCAGCCTTTGTGAATGTGACATTTTATTTTATTTGCTCGGGAATCTAATTAATTTCTCATCTGGGCTTCTCTCTTATTTAATCAGGCACTGTGACAAAGAGCTCAGGGATATTTACATCCTGTAGTTGTTAGAGGAGTGAGGTTTACAAATTGACACTATAAGGCTCTCCACCAAACACTTGTGTTGGTTGGCAATGCGCCATTTCTCAGGAGGGAGCAGCCAAGGGTTTAGTGCCTTGCTCAAGGACATGTTGAGGGAAGTTATTGAGAAAGCAAAGACAATTTTATCACCTAGCCTGTCGTCTCTTTGTTATTCATTGCAAATTACTCTCTCTGTGCATGGATGTTATAAATTACGAACATATTCTGTTTTTCCAAACTAGGAGACATTCGGTGTACTTAGAGCCAGTGTTGACCAATATTGAATGCCATTTACATATATACATATATACATATACATGCAGTGGTCAAGTACTTTGACCGGGGCATATATATATTTTTTTATGTATTTAATCTGTACTCCAGCATATTGGGCTGAAAATGTAATAATAACTGTTTTGACAGATTTGAGTGTGTTATGTTGTGTAACATTAGAATTTTCCTGCTGAACTCAAAAAACTTGCTTCATTTCAAATTAATACAAAATGTGTGAACGTCCAAAAATACTGTATAATGGACTACACTGGAAAAACTAGATCCTTCTTATACATTCATTGTTGGTTTTGTTCTTTTCATGGGATTTGTTGAAAATATGAAAATAGAACAACAGCATCCTGTGACGTTCCATTCCACATACAAGCTTTATCATTTAGCTTGAACTTTCTCTTTCCTTTATAAGCTACATTATATTACCTAAGACGGCAAAATAAATATTTTTCCTGACTGGATTTTTTTTCTTGTATGTAAAAGATGTTAGTATCAGATAGGATATACGAGAGAGAGAGAGAGAGAGAGAGAGAGAGAGAGAGAGAGAGAGAGAG